TTTGTGAATTTTTTTTTTTTTTTTTTTTTTTGATAAGTCAGAGTGCAATAATGAGCATTCCCTACTAAATCACTGAGAACGCCTCAATCTTCAATGAGTTGAGAGCTGAAGTTGAAAACTAACTGATCAATCTGAATACTTATGATTTACTGGCATGTAGTAAGAAAACCTAATCATGGAATCTCAACATTGTTAAGCAATCTAACCCAGTGTTGTGAAAAGCACTCGCTTCAGCGCTTTAAGTGTGAAGAGAAGCGAGGCGGCCACTGTGTCACTTTTGTAGGGTGAAGCGTAGTAGGTAGGTTGAAGCGTCCGCTTTTGCCAAAAAGCGAGAAAAGCTAGCGAAGCGAGAAGCGACGGAAGTGCTCGCTTTTGTCTTTTAAGTCACTGATAAATAAAAAAGCTCAGTCTATTTTTACAAAATTAGCGAGCAGCAGAGCAAGCAGCGACTAGGGTTTCAATTTTCAAGCCCAGGTATGTTTGCAGCGACTAGGGTTTCAATTTTTAAGCCCAGGTATGTTTTCTTCTTCACAGTGCTTAAAATAGTAGCGAAATGCTGCCAAATTTTTTTTTCTCTTCAGTTCTTTTTCTCATTCTCTTCTTCTTCTTACTTTCGTTTCAGTCCTTAAAATTGCAGCAAAATGCTGCCAATTTTTTTTTCCCTTCAGTTTTTCATCTTTTGTTATTAGTCTCACTACCATTTTTTTTAGTATTGGCAGTTACATGTGTAACATGTGTTGTCTATACAGTATTTATTTTAATATTTTTCTCGATTCCGCTTCACTTAAAAAAAGCGAGCACTTCGCTTCTCGCTTCACGCTTTAAGCGAAAAGGGGCTTGTCGCTTTTCCTCGTTTCACGCTCTTCACAACACTGGACTCTAACCATCTATACTCCAGTTACCCATTCGTCGACAACAGGTGGCCTGGACTGCCACAATCATTCAAACAGAAGGAAACAAACCCCACCGACGTCCTCCCTTTGACATGTAAGTGCTCCTAACATATCATCTCCAATATCTCTGTTGTCTTGCCTATTTCAGCATAAAAACCACCCAACTAGGGGTGCCAAGAAAACACAGACGGAGATCCTCATTTAACACTTCCAAATAAAATACGAACTGGTTTCAGGTTTTGGTGCCAAAAGTTGTTGAAAGGGCATAAATTAAATGAGTGAAACAATAAAATCAGGTATACTAATAACTGAAAGTTGTGAGGTAACTTCAATCAAGAGGTTGAGCATATCTGAATGCCACCTTTGCATTACCTGATGCATGCTTTCGCATACCATGTACTACTACGACCATAATGAGATACCTTTAAGAACAATCCGTTTTTTTAATACTTTTGACCCAAATATGGTCGGCAAGCAACCAGAGAAGGTGCATAAACCACAAATGAGACATTTGTTAATACATTTTTTTCTTTAATTCCTTATTGTAATTTATGCATTTAAACTTTGAATTCCAACTTTACATTTAAGATGGAGACATAGCTCTATCCTTACACTAGAACCCCATTATCTGCTTTCCTACTTATAACAAGGTTAAAAAGGACATAGATAACAGTACATGCAAGAAAACTATGCAAGATAGATAAAGGAGAAAAGCAACTGACCAGATAAGGGCACATATCTCGCATATGATTGCAAGTAGTGTCAAAATCTTACTGTGGATCTGCAAAAATACGTACGAAATAAACAGAAGAAAGATTGTAGTTCAGATAACATTGATGGAGTGCATGTAACATAACAAGGTAGAGTGATTAGTGATGTATAACTTTGATACAAAGAGAAGTCAAACCACAGGAAGCAGCAACAAGACAGTAAAAGGGACATAAATGTTTCACAGCACACTGCAACAAAAATAATACTATGCTTTTATGGTCAAATTTTCAACAATGCCACATAAAAACTACTATTAAGGGAATTTTATCTCGCTAAGTCAGTCACTTCCCTCATATCAAGAGGAAGGGTTACTTGTCAAGCTGGAGTGTATAATTATAATATCTTTCTATTTTTTTTAGAGATCTTGCCTCAAGTGGAAAGGGGGGAA